AAAGAGTAATGTGCCAACAATTGAAATATGTATTAGTTAAGATTGGCTCAGCAGCATAAAACTAAAATCCCCAATATCTCGTAGCTTTTTTAAAATGTGAGGGTTTTTTGTCTTCAAAGAATTCCAATGATTTTTTTTTTTTGAGGCTATTTTGTTGCTAAACCAACCTCAGCTATTGATTCCAACCCATGATCCAAGGTTGCTATCCCAGCTCCAGTTCACAGTGAACATTCTGGCCTCTTAAGAACCAGGGAAGTGCAGTTATAACCCTTTATTTAAGGATATTTTCCAGTTGTATCGAACCCTTCTGGTATCATTAGCCCAAACCTAGTCCAAAAGAAAGGAATGGAAGTCTAGTTTTCATTCCAGGTGATCCTGTGCCCAGGAAAACTGGAAAAAAAAAAAAAAAGTACATAATTGAGGTAAGTGCAAGTCATGGTCTGTTCTAAGGGTAGTTGATTGGTAAGCTATATGTATTTTGTTTTCCTGTGGTCATATTTTACTCTCAGACATTTATTTCAAAATATGTCCAGCTGCCTGATGTGCTCTTGTTCCATCAGTAAGTCTCACAGAAACTTGAGTGTGTTCAAGATTCAGCTTCTCCATAATGCACCACTATGGCCCAGAAAGGCATTGTTGTTGGAGGTGTAGTAGATGTTAATACTGTCTTACAAGAGGTTCTGAAGACTGCCTTCATCCAAGATGGCCCAGCATGGGAAATATGCAAAGTTGCTAAATCCTTAAGCAAGTGCCGACCCCATCTTTGTACGCTTGAACTGTGATGAGCCTATGTAAAGATGGTGGAGGAGCTTTGTGCTTTGAATTAAAAATCAACCAAATTAAGGTTGGTGACAAAAAACTAAGGGTGTGGATAGGCGTCTACAAAAGAGAGGGGAGACCCCATAAATTGCCTGGTTGTAGTGTGCTATGATGTCATCAAAGAGTACTTCAAATGCAAGCTCATTTTCTAAACAAAAACAAAAACCTGATGCTTTATTCACATAATAAAAGGTTCTCAAATGTAAAAAAAAATATTATAAGACTGATAACTGGGACTAGAAAAGTTATTTGTGCTAATCCTTGGATTGCAATACCTATATTTATGGAGTTAATTGATGAAGAGTATTACAATGTATAAGAGTAAATGAATTTATGTCAAGTAAATTAACATATTCCATTTAATGCACATTTAAATTTATAATTTCAACTTAATAAAAAAGAAGGAAAAAATGTTTTTCAGAAAACAAAGATCTTAACTATAGGCAAATTACTTCCTTTGATGTTCAGCCAATGAAATGAGAATCTGGCCATATTCTGAGATAAATAGTTTACTGGAGAGTCTTCTTGAGCAATCAAACAATACAGGACAATTTTTACTGTATTTCATATAAAGCCTAAAGAACTTTCAAGGTTAACTTTGACATAAGCAATTCTTTCCTTATTAATATGTTTAGAACCTAACCGCTGAAAATATCACAATCTCACAGTATAATATTCTTAGGATATTTTGCAATGGAAGAAAACAGTTTTCAGTATAAGGTTGCTTTACATCTAAATGTGACTGAGTCAAACTGCTAGCCTCAAGTCCTGCCCTGTTTGGATCAGATCAGATCAGCAAGGCTTCTTCTGAAGCTAAGTGACTGAAATGTATTTAAAAAAAGTAGACAAAATAAAACAAAACCTGTCATGAACTCTATGGAAATTATTTCTAAATTCTTACAGAGTTATTGTATTTCCTGGCCTGGGAGCATAATGAGGTTAAAGCATTAATTAGGAACACATTCCATCTTTTGCCTCCCATGGTTAAACTGTTTAATTAAAGGGCCTTGAAGCCTTCTGGGCAAAACAGTCAGTACACAGTATGATCATCTCCCTCTTATTCACTTTGCTTTGTGCTTCTTCAACTTCTGGAATGTAATTCATTTATTCTAGTACTGTTTGGCATGCCTCACTTTGCCAGCAGCAAAGAACTCAGTAGTAGCTGGGCTTTGGAGATCCTTGGAGAGATTGATTTCTGATGCATGTAGACTGTCACTCATCACACAGTATTTGTTGAGTGAGTGCCAAGGATTGTGGTAGTATGCTGGGTGCTATGAAACAGCTGAGGAATCAGGTCCAGCTCCTGTTTACATATGAAAGAAGTGTGCAGGAAGAAGAGCAGGTGAGACCGGGACATCCCAATCCACAACTAAAAGAAGCAAGAGGCAAAAGGCCATGGGAAGGTGGTTACAAAGCAAACAGTGAAGGAGTTCTTTTTTGTTTTGATATGTTTTTGTTTTTGTTTACTTACTTGTTTATTTTGTTGTTGTTTGAGACAGGGTCTCCCTGTAGCCCAGGCTCACCTTGACCTCACAGAGATCTGTCTACCTTTGCCTCCCTAGTGCATGCGCCAAGCCACTACCCCTGGCTGGAGTTATTACTTGATGAAAGAAATTAAGAAAGAAAGCATGGATGGTGTGGGATTTGGCTTCCACTAGAAAGGGATCAGATCTTCAAAACTGGGGATAAAGAGGAAAATGAGAGCAAACCAGCATGGAATTGTCAGGCATATGGAAAGGAAATAATGGGCACTAATTGGAGTGAGGGTAAGTGGGGAAGGTGGATTTCAAACATTGAAGGTAGTATGGAACTAGTGAAGCTTTATCTTATTCAATTTATATTTTATTTATTTTTAAATATTCTGATACAAGATGAAGTTTGCCGCAGGATTTGACAACAGGAGGCTATTTACAAGTCCTGAGGTTTTGTTAAGTCTTTCTAATCATTTTGAGCTTTATCCCAAGACAAAGAAGAACATATTATTAGAGGGATTTTAACTAAGAAATTAGTTGTTTAGGCTTATATTTTAAATAATGAGCTCAGGCTAAAATGCAAAGTTCATATGGGAAGAAATAAGAATAGAAGCCAAGAGAAAGGCAAGATAGCTCTTAAACTAGTTCTCGCAGTGCTTAGGATTTGAAGTCTGCCTTCTTTGCTTGGCAATCCATTTCAGACAGTGACAGCCACTTCTGGCTTGATTTGATACCTCTCTGCAAGCATCTTTTTTAGATCCTTGTCACCTTAGATTTGAATGCCCTTTGCTTCAACAAAATCAGTACCTTTGACCCATCCACTACTATATGGCTCCCCCACTTTGAAAGAAAGAGGTTGGGTGAGGGGGAATTAACAGTATTGCTTTTTGCCACAGACTGGGTTGTTGTAGATTCTTCTGAATGTACTTTTACATGTGTGTGTACTTTTTTTGTCATGTGCACATGACAGGTGTGAAGTCAGAGGACACCTTGTGGGAGCCAGGTCTCTCCTTACATTATGTGTGGCCTAGAGACCAAACTCAGGTCATCAGGTTTGATAGCAAGTGCCTTTCCCCACTGAACCATCTCACTGGCCCTGTGGCTTTATTTTTGATTGACAGATATTAATTATACATTCTTATAGGGTACAAGGTTCTATTTTGAGTGCTCAGATTTGATCATTATGCATTTCCTTTCTCAATATAAGAAAGCAGCATCTATAGCCCAAATCCTAATAAAGCCAATTGAAAAAATTGCAAGTATTTCCTTTTGGAAAGTGACAATGCAACTTCTGGGGAAGAAGCAGCAATAATCGAAAGGAATTCTCTGTCAGTCTCTTTCTAGGCTGTTGTACTAAGTGTCCAATCAGATACTTCCAGTGTGCTGTATAGTAAATATCACAAACGCACTATTGGAGGTGGCAAAACATGACAGGGAAAGAGGCTGAGTTTCGTGCTCAAGTTTCCATAGCAAGTTACTGTGGTGCCATTGCTTTTACAGTTGATCAGAACGATGAGTGGGTTTACATTTGTGAGGATGAGAGACGAACCTTAAAACCCTGTGAACAAGCATGATGGATGACATTAATGAGAGGAGGGTTCTCCACCAAAGTCACATAAGTGGTACTGTTTGTTGGGCTTGTTAATTATGCTTGATGCTCTACATAATGAAATTAAGGAAGCATTTAGTATGTTCAGCATGGGAAAATATTTGCTTTCCTAAAATGAACAACATGCATATTTGTGGCAATTGAGTTCTACAATGGTTAATTTTGATTGTCAGCTGGATGGGATTTAGAATCACTGTGGAAACAAATCTCTGGACATATCTGTGAAGGATCATGAAGATTAGGCTACTGAGGGTGGGAAGATCCACTGGAAACATAGGCAGCTCTGTTCAATGGATTGGGTCCTAGACAGGGTAGAAAGTAGAAAGCCAATAGAGCATAAGCATTCATCAGTCTGCTTTCCGACATACATATAAGTAACCAGCTGCCTCCAGCTCCTGCTGCCACCTTCCTGGTCATGATGGACTGTACTTGAACTGTGAGTTTCCTTGAGGTATTTTTGTTCATTATTTTATCATAGCATAGAGATGAGTAACAAATACAGGTCCAGTGTAGATATCTAACTGTCCAAAAGCTAGCTTAGAAAATTAAAAATGAGGAAAAAATTATGATGAGGAAAAATTACCCAGTGACTCTTTAGAAGCTGTTAGAGGCTATAACAAAGCTCATATAAAATTAATTGTATTTGGGGCCAAAGATATGGCTCAAGGTAGGAATTCTAATGTATTCCCCAGTGCCACAAAGCAAGCATCAAACAAATTTTGACAGCTGTTTGCTATTGAAAGTAGAAATAAAATTATCAAATCAGGCCGGGTGTGGTCACACATGCCTTTTATCC